ACGAGTGCCATCACCACGCCCACACACATACATGAGCCGAAAACACACACTAAAACATAGATAAACAAATGAGCAAACAATTGTTTGAAAGTGCAGAGTGAGTGCCTTTGTCTTAGGATCCGCTGCTGTGCTGGAGGGGCCCTGTGACTCTGTCTCTCACTGGCAGCAGGCACCCTCCGGGTCCAGCCGCAGCCAGGTTTTGTGACTCAGTTGAATAACCCTGAGCTCACAAATGCTGGGCCGTGCTCACCTGGGAGCCATGCCTCGGCTGCTCCTTAGCATCTGAGAGAGAGAATGGATTTATTACCTTGGGCTGACTCTCACAGGACAGGGCACCTCCCTGGCAGGTTTCAGGGCTGGTCCTGCAGGTGTCTCTTGGGGGTCCTTGGATTCAGTCCCCTTTAACAGCTGCCTGGTGTCTGAAAAGTGCGTTTCATCTACTCGGCTACATTTTTTTTTTTTTCAGGAATTAGAAATAAGACACTTGGAAATAAGTTAAAATAAGTAACTGGATGATGTTTGTAGAGGAAGAAAAATGTTAAACTTCAAGAGACTCATTGCCTTCTTGGTGGATAAAACAACTTACCCACATCAACACATACAGTGACTTTTATTTTTTAGAGATTTGTTAAAATTTGTCTAATTTTGGAACATTATGAAACACATTAGAAGCCACTTTTTTTTTCTTCTCTGCTAAAAACTCTTAATGAGCCAGTATATGCTGTCCCTGTCTGCAACTCACTAGCACACTGCAGTGTGAAGAGTCATCTAACCAGCGTGCTTCAGAAGAATTGTAACAACAAAGAAAGAAACTGGGGCCTCTTGGAAGAAGCAAAAAAGATGGGAAGAGGAAGCAACAATAAAAAGTTCCCAGGCTCTAACCCTGAAAACACTGACCCAGGACAACTAAATACAAAGGAAAATGAGAATAGCAAACATGCAATATCAGACACAGCATCAGTGGACATAAGAAGATATATTCAGGGACCTCATAGATGAGTTCAAAAGTTAAATATTTATCCAAATAAAGCAAAATATAAGAAGATTAATAAAGGAGATACTAAGCAACCCTCAAGCAGACACAGATGAAGAAGGGAGGGACTCAAACAAAGGAGAGAACCATTTGGTGAAGAATATTTAAAAAATATAGAATACATGAGGCATATTCAAAGAGATCACCAGGAAATTAAAAACTCTATGGGAAGATGGCAAATCAGCTTGAAAGAAACTAAGGATAGATTATCCAAACTGGAGGACAATTTTGCAATGTGGGAGTATGAAAGGGAAAACTTTAAAAATAACAAGGAAACCAGCAGTAACAATACAAAGGCTAGAAGATGACAAAACTGATATGATTTGATAGTATCAAGTCTGAGAGTATAGGCTACTACACTGAAGAGGACAAGACTCCATGCCAACTCCATGACATATACACATCCTGGTTTGATAACTGCCCGTTTTTGAAGTTCTATACTATATACAAAGTTGTGTTTTTATTAATACTTTTATGTACTGATATATTCAATTATATTATGTCTGATGATATCACCAATTCTATTGGAGATATCAAGAGACAACACAGGAATCGTGGTAGAAATCTTTGTACAATGGTTTTTATATGTTTATTTTGTTTCATGTGTTTATAGGAATATGTTTTGTTTTGCCTTGCTTTGTTTTGTTTCTCCCTATAGTATAGAATGGATAGAAATACCTGTTAAGACTCATGCCTGTGTAGAATCTATAAACAGTTTATGAGAACTGATCTTATGACACATGATGAAAGGAACAGATACTTTGAAGAAAAAGAGACACTAAAATACCCCATGCTGATCCTGGAGTGTCATAATGTGAAACCCAGCTATAGTGTTATTCTTTGTTCAGAGTGATATTAGCCTGCTTGGGTTTATTCAATCTCAACATAATTGAAGATATGGATAACTGCATTATGTTTAAGTCAAGTATAGAACTGACAACCATGTTACTAAGTTTTTGTTAGACAGTATAGCAGAACTGTTTGTGGTCTCACTGTTTGAATTCCCACTTTACATGTTCCATTTTTGTATCTTGAACAACTATTTGTAAAAAGACAATATGCAAACAGCAACTAGTGATTTCTTACTGTTTATTTTTTTCTCTGAACATATGTATTATTTCTACCTATTTTCTGTTTTGTTTAGTCTGTCTTTAAATAAAATTAAATTTTTAAAAAAAAACTGAAAGAATAAAACTCTTAACCATTTATCTTTCTAAAGAGAGTCACTTTTTTGGAGAGAAGTCCTGTTCTAGAAAAAAAATTCCATGCTGAAATTGAAGCTGAAGAATTAAACCCCAGTGAGATTTTTTTCCTCTTTTTCTTAACAGCGTGCCCATCGGGAGAGGACCTCTAGGTGCCTCTAGGTTCATAGTCTCTTTGAGAATCAACGAGGATTAGATCAGATGCCAGATCATGATCCCCGAAACTAGAGAACGCAATCATGCTGATGGAATTACACAGAAATAAGTAAGACAGCATTGTGCTTTGATAGGGAAGGGGAATAATCAGTCCTGAAAAAGATGAAGCCATGCCCAGGTCTCGATCCTGGGTTTGCTCTGGCCTGATGAACTCCAAACTGGCAGTGCCATCTGGGACTGTGATGACCCATGATCTTCAGCATCTGCAGTTCCAGCCACACCCTACACCCTAGTCCCACTAGGACACTCGACTCCGTCCGACCACTAGTCCCCAGCAAAGTGATGGTCCTCTTTCCTGCATCCTTATGCTTTCACTGAGGCTAAAGTAACCAAGCCCTGAACCCTAATCTAAAAGGTTTACATACTGATTTCATTGAATCGTCACAATCCATCTACAAGGTAGGTTTATTTTGTCTACTGGTCCATTGCAGCTTGAGGATGATCATTAACTTGCTTAAGTCTCATGAAGGTGGTGCAACTCCAGAGCATGAGTTCTATGCTGACCACATGAATTTAACATCTACGTGGCCCTGATATCCTTCCCAAAGAGCTTGACACATCATGTTACAGGGATCCCTGCTCACCCATGTTGACAGGAGCACAACTCATCACAGCTAACACTTGGAAGTGGCCTCTGTGTCCATCAACGGATGGCTAAAGATGATGTACATTCAATGAAGTACTACTCTGTTGTGCAGCTTGCGATCATAATGTCAAGTGAAATAAATGAGACACACAAGCTTCAATAGCTCGCTGTTTCTGCTCCATGAAAACTCAAAGCATAAATAAATTAAAGTGAAAAATACAAAGACAGGTAATAGGAAACAAAGAGATCTTTTGCAAATGTGAAGGAGACCAAGAAAGGAAGCAGAAAAGGAGAAGTCCATATAAATAAACTAAGCTGCATGGCACCCATGTACCAACTTCCGTGAGGATGGTATTCCCTATGCACCGTGAACATGGGCTCATAAAAATAAAAATTAAGTCAACCTGCATCTTCAGTGTGGGAAGCATAGGGGCTTCTCTGCAGGCTGAGCCTGGGGTCCCCCCGGCTGCTGACCTGAGCCCTGTCCAACCCCTGTCTTCAGAGCCCATCTCCTGCAGGAGAAGGGATTCTACCAGGAAGTGGGTGGTAATTCGACTCCTACCACCCATGACCCCAGACTCTGTCCATGGAGAGAGAGAATGACAAGGACCTACATCAGTGTCCAGATTCCCCTTCTCCACCTAGGAATTATGGGTGTCCCAGAGACCACAGCTGCCTTCTGTGAGTGGACCCAAGCGAGGACCGGTGCCCACAGCCTCCTGCTGGTTCCCAGGGAGATGGAGGTGTGCTTTTTCTGCACCCCCCCCCACACACAGAAAACATCTGGAAAACGTATAAGGGGAGAGGCTGCTGGGCATAATAAATAAAAGAGATGCACTTTGCTCAAAGTCAGAGGCTTAGCCTAGGGTTCAGACAATTCCACAAAATAAAGCAAAAACTTGGGAGGAAAATTTGGGTTTTGTGTGTGGTGCATGTGATGTTTTTTGAGGTTGAAGATAGCCACATTCTCTGGGGCCACTAGCAAGGAGGGTTGACCAGAAGCCAAATCCAGAATCAGGGACATCCAAGAAATGTCTCTCCTCCCTGGGGGGAGCAGGGAAAAGAATTCTGCCCCAGTGGCCAAACCCCGCAAGGCACTGCCTGCAGGAAAACCTCCAGGAGTGAACACAAGGAGGGTTTTGTTGTTGTTGTTGTTGGTGGTGGTGGTGATGGTGGTGATACCAGGGATAGAACCCAGGATCTGCTGAGTTACATTCTCAACTCTTTTTTAGAAAGTATTTTTATTTTTTAAAATTTTTTTTATTTTTTGGTACCAAGGAACGAACCCATGACCTAGTGCTTGCCAGTCTGGCACTTGTGCCACTGAGCTAAATCCCTGGCCTCCATTATTTTTATTTTGAAACAAAGTGTCACTAAATTGCCCAGTTGGGCTTGAACTCATAATCTTGATTCTCCTGACTCAGCCTCCTGAGGAGCTGAGATTCCAGCTATGCAGCACCACAGCTGGCCACACATGCTTTGAAACAGAGCTGGAAGCCTAACCAACAGGCCATTCCTCAGGAGCTCTCCAGGGCTGACAGAGCTACCGGCCACACATTTAGGAGGGACTAGTATCCCTCCCCCTTCCCCTCCCTCTCCCCTTTCTCCTCCCTCTCCTCCTCCTCCTCCTCCTCGCCACATTCCTGATGGAGAAGGAAACGCAGCGCCCCAATTTTCTATTGACAAAATGTAGTCTGGTTGTGTGAGTGTGAAATTGCAGGATGCGGTGACCAGAGGATCAAAGGTTTCATCTTCTCTTGGCCACGCTGGCCATGTCCTGTGCACAGGACACAGGTTAATAAACCAGCAGATGGTCTAACATTGGTAACCTGGTCCCTTCTGCCACATGCCCTGTCCCTTTCTCAGGACAGTGGTCTGTGCTTTTGACTCCCTGTGCCCAAATCAACTGCATCCAAAGATGTTCAAGGGAAAGTTCTAGAAATAAACAACGCACACACTTAAATAAGCTTTCACCTTGCGGTGTTCTAATTGCTGCATTTATTACTGTTAACTTCATCACTGCTGTGCGCATACAGGAAAAACCAATCTCCACTAGGGGAACTGCGATGTCCCCGGTGATGGGAGCATGGTACGGAGGAAGAGGTTGGCAGGCGGGCCTACAGGTGCCCTGCCTGCCTCACACTGTTCCGGCCCTAGATGTCCCTAATGCAAACCCACGCCCCCTGGTCACCCTGGTGGTCTGCTGCTCTGTTGCCTGAGCTTACTTTCTGCAGTAGACTGTGGTTCCTGGCTTGGGTGGGAGTTTCTGTGGCAGCTTCTACTAATTAAATGGACCCTGAATCCCACCACCCCTCTGCTTAATGGCACCTGCATCTGAGAGCAAGCCAGGAGGCTCCGGTAGATTCCTCTCACCCCAAGTCCTTGCTGCCTACTCTCAGAAGGACCTTGCAATCGGGCCTCTGCTGTTACTCAGATGGAGAGCAGTAAGAGATACAGGCGCCCTTCACCTACTAAGATGTAGTCTTGCTCAGGGCCTTGGGAAGGTGAATTGCACAGCTGTCTGCAGCCGCCACACCTCCACCTACCACTGGGAGTAAAATCAATCTCTCTCTCTCTCTCTCTCTCTCTCTCTCTCTCTCTCTCTCTCTCTCCAGAAGTTGCCTCTGCTGCTTTGCTTGCTCGTTTGTTTAAACAAAAAGCAAAGCCCAAGGATTTATATGTGGTTCTATCCTTGATTAGCACATTACTATCATTTGATAGTGCATAATTTTTATCAAAATAAAAATACTTAGATCAGAAACAACATAAGATTACAACTTCAGAAGATCAACCAGCTGGCTCCTTTGCCATTTCTTTGGCTCAGCGAACGGGGCGAGAATCATCCAGTGTATAAATCTCGGGCAAAGCCAGATGTTCTTGGTCTGTTACTGGTGCCCCTAGATCCTACCCGAGGACATGGCCCTTTCCTTGCAAGGGACAGCAGCCCTGAGCTGGCATTCGGTGGCATCCCAGGCCCTCAGCTTTGACATCTGGAAGGTAAGGATGCTGAGGACACCTTTGCTACCATCCTTTTCCATCTGCATGTTATCATCAGTTCAATGTGTGCAAGCACAAGCCGTAATTATCCCTGATTAGAAGCGAAACTGACAAAACCTACAAAAGTACAAACTAGAGAGAGCAAAAGGATCCATGGCCCACCCGGATCCTTTGGTGAAATGGTGAAAAGTTAAAATGAACAAACTGTTCCTTGTCATTTGCACCCTGGACCAGCAGAGTAAACGCACATGTTCATGCAAAAGGGAAATTCACAGTTAAGCCCCTGCAGGCCCCCAAACATGGGCACAGCTAGGGATGAAAAGGTGGAGGCGAGGAGGGAGACGAGGATGTGGCTGGGAGCGTCCTTTTAAATGAAGAGAGAGCCTTACGGGTGGGCAGGATTAAAAGTCAGCCAAGGAGGGCGGGGGCACCAGAAATAGTAGCTGTAAAAGGATATTTAATTACTATATGCTATTAATTTGGCACATTAAAGAAAGCCTGAGGAAGGATTATTAATGGACAGATGGCCAGAGGGAAGAGAAGGAAGGAGGGAGGAGGGATAAAATAGTTTGGTGAAATTTGAAAGCTGGAGTGTGTGGTTTGAAATGAAGTCGGCGGGCGGGGAGGGGGGGGATACAGCTCAGAGGCAAAAGCGCCTGTCTGGCAAGCACAAGGTCCTGAGTTCCACTCCTAATACCAAAATAAAAAAAGAAAAAGAAACCCACCACACATCTAATAAATACATCGTCATGTCATGGTCCTTAAACTCTGTGGCCATTGTGTTTCTAGTATTTGTTTTTAAAATCAAGACTGTAATTATCAAATAGATCGTGAATCCATCATTTGGAGACTTGTCCTGTCATCCAGATCACATCTGTTGCTGATCAGATATAGCAATGTTATAAATCTTTTCACCTTTCTTTTGAGATAGGGTTATTGCTTATGGGATACCCAAATCACAATCAAACACAGCCGCTGGCAGGAAAGAACTCACCATGGACTGCAGCCCCATTGTCTTATCCGGGCAGTGCCCTGCCCAGCTCCACTTGATTCTAACCCACACACACATGTGGTCAGCGACAATTACCAAGCTATCGCACGTTCATCTTAGTACATGAGCTGGGTCACGGGCCTCAGTAGGTGATCGTAGGGAGGCTTGGGGACTTGGGTCCTGTCATCACCTCTGCTCTCCCAGCTTGGAATGTGACTCATGTACAAGTTCTCTCCCAATTTCCCAAACATCTCCATCTCTGAGAAATGCATGTCCAATAGTGAACTCCACAGCTCCCGTCTGAAAACCCCCTTTCCCAGCAATGGGAAATCGGAAGTGATCCCAGGGGTAGCAGCACTACTTCCTGTGGAGCAGAGGGCTGTAGGACTGGCAATGTTCCCTGCTGTGTGCACGCTCCGCTGTCCACCTGGCCCTGAGAGCCGAGGCCTCCTCCTCACTGTCCTCTCTGGACTCAAATTCCTCATCCAAAGCGAAGAACAGAGGCCTGGCCCGTACCACTGCCCTCCTGCTGGGCCTGGGGTCTCTGCCATCACCCAAGGGCACTGTCATGGCACCTTGTGGTAAACTCTTCATGGGGATCACCTGCACCGGCCGGCTTTCCCGGAGTGACCCCAACTGGGGCCGTGCACTGAACGTGATGGACGGGAGTCCGAGGTCACTGCTGTCGTCATCTAGAAAGACAGAGTAGCAAAGAGGGAAATCAGATTCAGTATCTGAGCTCAGGCTTACTGCCCAGGGGTCAGGAACTCAGGGCCAAGCTGAGCTCTGACTAAAGCTCCACCTCTCACCCTGCAAAGATTTCCCTTTACAGGTTGCCATTCCAAGAGACCAGGAGGCAGACGCTGTATGTACAGTGTGGTAGACACACAGAAGTGCACTGAAACCAGTCAAGCCAGTCTCCTGGGTGACCAAGACAGGGTTTGATCACAAGACGAGATAAGCAGGCTAAGGACATGCAGCATAAGGCACAGAGCTGCTGTGTCTAAAAGGTCAGCGCTGAACTAGAGACCACAGGACACCACTGGTGACAGTGCCAAGTTGCCTTGGTTGGGACTTCTGCATGGGGGCTCCCCGAAAGTGTTAGCCTCTGAGCCTTAAACCTGGGTCTCATCCCTTTTCATCAGAGCAAACTGATCCTTAAGAAATTGGGAAGGGAGGAACAAGGAGATGAGGATGTGGTGGGAAGGTTCTTTTAAAGGAAAAGAAAAAGAAAAGAGAAAACCAAGCGAAACTGTCATAGCTGTAACTAGTACAGTGTACCCACAGGCTTAGCCAGACAACCGGTGTTTAGAAAGAGGCTACCGGAAAAATCTTAACTTCCCCATTCAGCAGTGCTTTTCCAAATCTGGCTAAGTCATCTTGAGAAAGCAGGTTAGAAATCAAGATGGGGGCTGGGAATTTAGCTCAGTGGCATAAACACCTGCCTGGCAAGTGCAAGGTCATGAGTTTGATCCCTGGTACAAAAAAAAAAAAAAAAAAAAGAAAGAAAGAAACAAACAAACAAACAAAACAAAAGAAATCAAGGTAGGGAACCAACGGCTTTGAATGCAGAGAGTAAGTAACACTGGTATATATGCCTATTTCTCCACGGGTTTCTTCTCGGTTTGTTCTCTGCAGTGGGACCAGAGTCCCCAGATGCTAGGGACGTGGCCTAAGGGATGGTGACCTGGATGCTTCTGTCCCCTCAGCCTGTCCCTTCACAGTCCACTGGCTCTCCAGAGTGTAATGCTCCCTCAGGGGACAGTCATGTTCAGGTGGGATCTTAGCATAAAGAAGAGGCTCACACAGGTGACATTCCACTTAACTTAAGTGACAAGATGTCTCCAACATTCAAAGAACAGCCTCCACCTCCTGAGACAAGCCCACGTTAGAAGGTGGGTTATCTCTCTTCTGTCCTGCTTTTTAATATAATGCTTACTTAAAATCTTCACATCAATGCTCCCATGAGCCTGCTCTGGGTCATCCCAGGAGAAAAGAAAATTCAGTGACACATTCTTCCTTTCTACCACTCAAATGACAAAAATAGCCTTGGATTATTTGTACCAGGAGGATATTTTTAAGTCAATCTATCCCATGCCCTGTATTGCTGTCTGGTTTATTCTGATTTTTTTGTTTGTAGAACAACTCAGTGATAATCTCAAACACTATTACGGAGGCAAGTCTGGTCTGAGAGTAGATAACTTGACCAATGAAACAGAATTAAGCTCAAAACCATCGTCATCCTGAATGTTCTAGTAAGGCAAAGGTGACATTTCATCTTTGAGGAAAAGACTGTGTCAGGACAGCTCAGTCCCTTGAAAATTATCTTAATCCTTTCACAAGGAGAAATTTCTGATGGGTTGAAATTCACAAGGGAAAATTAACTGTAGTTCTTAGTAAAAATAATTGCGTGAATCATTAGATAATTTTTCATCAACCTCAGAGCAGACTTAATAAAAATTTTCTAACAGCAAATAGATCTAAAATAGTAAAAGCTGAACACAAAACAAGGAAAAATGTTGGCAGCCCACGGGAGAGAGGCGGATGAGGTCCGTCTGGGACAGAGTGCCTCAAATTCATTCAGAGATCAATAGCCAAATAAAAACTAGATGGAGAAAGGAAGAAATGGAAAATTCCACCCAAAAAAGGCAGTTTGTTTCCCCAAATACGAAAACTGTTGCACCTCGCCAAAGACCACACCCCAGTGTTAAGGTTTCCAATCTTATAGGGCCCCCTGCAGCTGAGGGCGCAGGGCCAGACAACAGCGGTCAGGGACAGAGCCCAGCCCAGGTTACCTGCACCCTCCTCGGTGCCCGCCTTTCTCCTGCCGGACTGCAGCTTGCCATAGGGGAAGGACAGGTAGCGGATGTTTTTGGTACCAGCCTGTGGGTATCAAGTAGAAGGAAGAAACAGAGTGAGGAAGACTTTGGCAGAGCCAGGAGGGCAGAGGCCAAGTCGTGCTGTGGCCCTCACTGGTGTAAATGCACCACCCGTGACCTCTCAATGCAAACCCACAGCCCCACGATGAGGGACCCCAACACAAGGACATGCACCGGCCCAGCCTCCCTGGGGAAGTCGGGCAAGGGCACGTGCTCGACTTTTACGTGAGGTGGTGGCCCCCCTTCCACGGAGGCACTGCCCGGGCACAGCTGAGTGCCTAGTGACAGACACCTGTGGGCAGAAGCTGTCCCACCACACTGGGGCCCCTCACACCTGGGCTCCCCAGGGCAGGCTGTGGCCCTTGTGCAGGCTCTCCCTCAGGGTGTTCTGGCGGCGGATGAGGATCTCCTTCGCCTGCGTCTCGCTGGTCTGGGGCTTGAGGTTGTACTTGTTGTAGGACAGGGTCTGCAGAGAGAGCAGAACAGGTGAGGCCTCGCCCAGTGCAGCTTCCTGTCCAGGAGGTCACAGAGCATCTGCTGATGGGGAGGGACTGTGTGGCCTTGGAGCAGGCACATTTAGGAAGCCGTTGGTCTTCTATTGCACCCTACGGGGTGGATAGATGTCACTCCTGTCTATTTTGCAAGCAGGAAGCCCAGATGTCTCTGAACACATACAGTAGGCGGTGGGCTCCACTGGCCCCACACTCAGGAAGGGGTCAGCAGCTGGCTGGAGCCTGTGTTTGCCTAATTATACCTCAGGGCCCATGGGAGAAGGGACTTTACATCACTGTGCGGTGCTTCTGAAGTTTGGCATAGCCCAGATGAAGAGCACAGAGGTGGGGAACACTATTGCCCTCCTCTGAAAGCACACAGACCTTCTGCAGGGAGCCAGTCACTGAGGCCATGCCAGGGACTGCCTGTCGGGCACTGAGCTCTTCCTGGGACCTGGTCTTGGTTCAGTTTCTTCTCTCATAAATTTGGAAGGATATTTCCCATGCTCGATCCCTCCATGTTCCACAGAGCTGCCTCTGGGGTTGCCCTCACTGTCCCCTCCCTCGTAGCTTCCCCTGGAGACAAGCTGAGGACAGGGACTTCAGAGAGGCCAGCTTCGTTCTGACCAACTGCAGATTAGGGTCGGCCAGAGGTACCCACTGGCCCAGATGGCTCTGGACTCCGCCGAGTCGCTTCTGAGACCCTGACACTGAGAAGTGCTAACCACCAATGGCCCAGGCCAGACAGCCGTGGGTGGCTTTTTTATACATGGTTTGCGTCCATCCTTCAGAATGCAGATTTCCACTAGAAACAGTGGAACAGACAGCTGCATTTGCAGGGTGATTTTTTTTTTTTTTTTAAGAGACCAAGAGAATCCTGGTGGCCGAGAAGAGCCTCACTGACCTTGTAAAGCTGGAGTTAGAAGGGAAGGGGGGGAGGGGAGGACCAGAGAGCTTCACGCTTGGGCACCAAAAGTGGAGACAGAGGCCCCCTTCTCCTCACCAGCTCCCCACGGTGCACAGTAATAAACCCCTTCAGTGACAAGAGGCCAATGGGCTTCCACTCAGGGCAACAAGTAGGTCTCCATGCAGCTTTTAGAAGAAAGAGAGCACCAGAGGACGGTGGAGAAGACAGCATGCAAAAGAAGAAGCCAGGAAAGCCCCCAATAGTGGACTTGCCTTTGACCAAGTGGGAGTTTCTAGATCTGGCCTCTGCTGCCTGATCTTTCCTGAACTCATCAACTCAAGGCAAAGGCTGAGTACTTGGGGCTCCTGGCCCCAGCTGTCACTAAACTAACTCCATTCTTCAAACCAGGAAGTGCTTATCTTGAAGGCAGCATGAGATAGCCTTGCTGAAACAGTTTCCCTTGGAAAGCTTTGGAGCTGGGGATTTACCCAAGCAGGCTCTCGGCTGATGTAGAGCCCTGTGCTGACATAGCCCCTTAATCCTCCCTGAAACAGGAAGCCAGAAGTGACTTTCTGTGGATTATGTGAATCCAGAGTCACCGACAGAACCCTGGGCAGGTGCCCAGAGCTTGGATTTACTCCTTGTGACCTTGAACAAGTTGGTCCCTCAGGCTCACTGACCTCCGTGTTTTCCACTTGAAAAGAAAGAGCTTGCCAGAGATGACTCTTAAAATCCCACTAAGATATGACCTATGTGTCACGGTCACAAAAGCCGTGGCCCTCCCATACTCATTACAGTTCTACCCTAGAATCAGGCTGCACTAACTTAGAATAAAACAAAAATAAACCTCCTAGAACAGATGGCATCAATTCAAGTGTTATTTATCCAAACTTCCCAAAGGACTCATCCATTATCCTAAGAAAGGTCCAGTAAAGACTCCATGTGCCTGTTCCAAAACCAAGCGGAAGGAAGACACCTCGTTTCTCCTTTCATTCCAACTTTCCACATCGTGCTGTCAGTGCGTCAATTTTACAACCCTCATTAGCTCAAAATTACTGAGAGAACGCCACTGGCACCATCATTCTGTGGGGTGATGGTGACCTTGGCAGCTGTCCTTCTTTGGAGGAGAGGGAGCCCCAGGCTTCTGGAAACCTGCAGGCTGCAGGGCTGGGGCAGCCTGACCCCTAGAGACGGCAATGGGATTTGCGTTTCTTTCTAGGCCACCAGTGCTAGCTTCACAGCAGAAACTAGCAGGGAGCTTTCTGTTCTCCAAACCATGAAGAGAGGACTCGTCCAGGGGAAGGAGACTGGGAGTCAGAATGGGTTCCCGGAGCACGGGTCCTCGGGGCGTGCCACGGGGCATCACAGCAGCTGGCTTGCACACACCCGTTTTCGAACGTGGTACAGGTTGCGTGTCAGAATGTCCCTCATGGACTCCACATCTTCGGGGGAAAGCCTCTTGGTCACCTGTGTCCTTTGGGCCCTGAAAGCAGAGTCAGAGGAAAGCTGTCATTAGTCTGAGAGGCACCAGGAAGCACCAAAAGGCCCTGTCCGCCCTGGAGTGGCAGGGACCCTAAGTTCCAGAACTCCGTTTTTCTATCACCTTTCCTGTTGTGTTTGCTAGCCAACTTAAATGTCAGAACATGTATTCCTCCTTAGAGCTTTTCCGCAGTTAAGGTGGTGACAGCCAAGTAACTGTTCCCCTCTGTTAGGAAATCTCTTATGCATCGACACGTTGATAAAATACAATAAAACCCAGTTATTGGAAAATGGCACCATAAAATGACATCCAAATACTGTTAAATTAAACTGAAATAAAATTCCTCAAAGGTCAAGCTTTGCTAACTCTGCACTTCCTCATATAGCAGACAGGTGACTGCCAGTTTCCAGACCCACACAGTCCACTTCCTACACTTGGGGCAAAAGTGATCTCAGAGAGCATCATAGGTGCGTGGGTACAAGCTTCCTGGAGTGATAACTTTTAAGGACCTTATTTTTTGCTAGGCAGTGATTTAAGAAACTGGAATCACATCTCCAAAGAGAAAGTGAAGTCGTTTACACCAAGAAGGTCAGCCCTGCTCAGAGGCCCTGCACACCAGGAGACGCTTCCCGCCCAGGTTGGGCCAGGTAAGCAGTCAATTCACAATTGTCCCCTGGAGATTCCTGAGTCATGACTGCTGTGGGGAGAGTTCCCACGTGACAGACGTATTTGATTACAATCTCTCGTGGCTGCACTTTTAAAAATCCTTTCATTAGAGGAGTAATGCGGGATCTTCGGAGAACGGAAAAAGAAAAAAGAAGGATCAACAGAAAAGGAAGCCTTAATTTTAACACTGCTGTCACACTCCACACCCTAATGGTTTCTCTTGTCTCCTTGCTTATTTCTGCTAGCTGTGGCTATTTGGAATGCTCAAGGGCTCTGATGGCTTTAATATCTGCTTGTGTATGTTCTTAGCATGATTGATCACAGAGGTGAGTAATTATTAGTTTCAATACAGATCACCCCTTTAAGGATTTTCCCCACATGTAAAAATACAGCCATAAGTGGTTAGGACATTTCAAAAGTAGTATGCAAGATTTCAAGGCTTTGGATACTAGATATCCCACTGTGCTTGATTTAATTTCACAGTACCATCTGCACATTGAATAAGGTCCTTCCTCCAAAATGAGTGGAATCAGACTTTCCCTCGTGCAGAGCTCAAATGTCACTTCTGTTGATCCACAGTTACCACCCTTGGTGAGATAAACATTGTTATCAGTGCATTGCAACCTGCGTACATGTCTCTTGGGTAAAATTCACTCTGATTTAGGTACTCCCACAGGCTTCCACCATCTGAGTACGTTCCTTTGCTCCAAGGAGTGTATGTATTGCTAAGACGAAACACCAGCTAGCCAAAGAGTTCCCTTTTCGGTTTATCAGAAAACAAATATCGAAACCACCGATAAAGGAAGTATCAAAATGAAATTTGGTAGACCAGGAGATACAACTTGGACCTCACCCCAGTTCGGAACTGACCACTTTGGGAAGGGCGCATCTTCATCAAAGGCCATTCGGGCTCCTGGCTTGCATGAGTAACCTCAGTATCTGGAAGGTGTCACATCACTCTGGGCCACACTGAGAATCTGCAGTGTCACAGTGGCCGGGCTCACCTGAGCAAGGGGGGACCTGGGCTTTCGTCATGCCACTTGGTGAACACAGGCACACCTGAAATACTCACATCACAAGTCCAGGAAAGATATGGCCCTGGGAAAATTGAACTGGTAATGGTGCCTGGTTCAGTTGAATGCTAAACCAAAAGACTTGTCCTTAGAACATTCATTTATTAACCATAAAGGAAATATCTGTCACCTTAAATAAAGGTGATTTGGTGATTTCAAGGGCACTAAACACAACTGGAATAATGTGAATCCAGCTGTATTTGAACATAAGGTTTACATTTCTCATGACCTCTTCCTTCCTTCCTTCCTTCCTTCCTTCCTTCCTTCCTTCCTTCCTTCCTTCCTTCCTCCTTCCTTCCTCCCTTCCTTCCTCCTTCCTTTTAGAAAGACATGGTTAATGTTTAAATTTAAAAAGTTGTTACAGTGAAAGACCAAGGATGAAGAGACACAGGAGTTCAAAGCAGGGGGCAGTATTCTGAAGAGGATGGATGCACAGCGATGTGTCTTTCCCTGTAACAATTTTTTTTTATTTAAACATTCCCCATATTTTTGAGCACTTTTCACTGATCAAATATTTAAGGCAACTTTCTGTCAAATAAAAACCCTACCTATGGTGTGTCCTCATCCACCTAATTCACCATATTTTGGCTTATCCCAAGGACAAATGATCATGCAAAGTAAATGTTTTGAATAGATTCAAAACATGAGGAGAGGCACACAGGTCAACCAAAGACACTCAGAAGAAGAAGACTTTCAGAACTGCTGCAGAATACGGCAGGAACAAGGGATGAGTGCATTTGAAGTGTATTTTCAAGGCACCTCATGGTAATGTGCCTTTTCACTCTAATGCATTTTTTACAATCTAAACACTCTCCTTATTTTATTATATCTCCTATACCTGTCAATGCATGATCAATTAGAAACATTTTTAAGCTAAAATGAAATTATTGTATGCTTTTTTTAAAAAAAATGGCATGCTAAAATTATTTGGGAGATTTGATACAAAATAAGGATGCAAAATAAGGTTTGTTGTGCTGATAAATTTATAAATATTTTAGTACCCTATAAAATGAATCAAAAAAATTTTAAAGCTTTGATGCTATTAATCATTTTGAGCCTGTATCCTCTGATAATTTCTAAGAGTATACTACTCAGAGGTATGGTGAGCTGCTTTGTATTTGAAGTAAGATATACGTTAACCCTTTCACAGGGCTGTTCTGAAGGTCAAGTAGGTAATGCAGGTAACAATGCAGGGTTGATGCCCACTAATCCACACTTTCTGTGCCATCCATATACAGCCCTGCTAGTAGCAATCTTCCAGAAATCACAGAATTGAGAAAGCTAACTTTTGTACAATTGCTTCAACTTCTAAAGAAGAAAATATGTGTGAATTTGTTGTTACCTCTCATACAGAATAATAAGAAGTGAGCTGAATACACATTTCTTTTTCCTGTTATTGTATGAAGGTTTGTTTTTTTAAAAAAAAATTAGCTGCTTTGATCTTAGGAAAGGAATTCCTTTTTGCTTGATGTCCTACAAGCCTCTGATAAGATCAAATACATGTGATTTAAATACTAAACTTGTATTAAACATAAGCTTTAAAAAGACCCCCTCTCTCACTCAGATTAAATAACTAGTTTAGGCTATAGGAGAGGGAAAATCCCTTACCCAGAAGACTCCATTGCTAATCTCAGATCAGTTTCTGAAAAATAATTGACCCAAGGGGCTGGGGGTTTAGCTTAGCTGCAGAAGTGCCTGCCGTGCAAGTAGGCAGTCGTGAGTTCGATCCCTGGTACCGATAAAAATGAAAAAGAAAAAAAAAAAAAATTGACCCGAAGTAGGGGTTGGAAGGGCTCCAAACAGAACTGTTTTAAACACTGCATTGAGGTCAGAAGTTGGGGCAGTTGGTTATGATCAATGCAACACAGTTCCAAGGTTCAACATATGTTGGAACACGGGAGAGACTGATTCACACCAAGATAAGCCCCTGGAGTCCTGGCAAACCATTACATCACTGTGGAGCAAGCCAGTCAGGAAGCCCGTGGTGGGCCATGCCTCCGGAGCTGTCCAGCTCTCCTGGGACACACACACTTGGGACACGCACACTTGCTCACACCTTCCTGTGGTGAGTGGGTCATGCATCCACACTGGGAACATCATGAGCTGTGCCCCTCACCCACTCAGGCAGCTCCCCACCTAAGATCACTCATTGTGTGATCCTTACACTACACCATGGCTCCCCCACAGTATGTGTCCATGAGGGCAGGACCTGAGCCTACTTTCCGTGTGTGGCCCACAATTGGCATCTAAGGAGCAGGAAAGAGCTATGGTGCAAAGAATAAGATTTGAGGACAATATTTTAGAAGTCGCAAAAAATAAATCTTGGATGCCAACATTTTAAGTGAAAACAAAATCAGCATTCCTGACTTTTCCTCTGGCTCCACTATGGCTTAGCTCGTTGCCAATAAATATTTGTTAGTGCTTTCCCATTTTAGTATTGGAGGTTTCCTCAGAGTGGTGTAAGGCGCAGCACAAAGCAAAAAAACACAAGCCACAAAAACAATCTTACAGAGAAGTAAAGCAGAAAGCCTTTTGTTTGTGCTGAGATGCCCCCAGGGGACACTAGGTCAGCTGTTCTGCAGGCCTGGGAAGAGATGCTGTGGTGTTTCTGATTCATTAGCAGGTAAGGGAGGGGGGCGTTATCTGAAAATAACACCCAAGCATTAGCAACAATTTTATTGCTACCTATTCTTAGCCCTTCTATGCTGGTTTTGCCAATGCGAAGACATAACTGAAGCTCATGATCAAGTGTCTTTACCTGCTGTAGTGACAGAATGGCGGGGGCTGGTGTTCCTTTCCATAAATATAGATGGTGATTAATTTTCCCAATTCGTAAGCCATCCCTTGGAAGAAAACTGGGCATCTTCAGGAGGTAAATTAATTTTTGTGATATTAAAGGAGCTGTTGTTAAATGTCAGCGTTAAAACAGCTTTAAAAAAATATCTAGCCAGCTTTGGGGCAATTGGTTAGCAGATGGTCCCCGAGAAACACCATGTTTCAAAGGAAATGGTCCCGGAATGATGGATTTATAGACTGGCACCCCTCTCCCCACTCCCTGCCTCCCACTAACTCCCCGCAGTCTTTCTGTCAGCAGGAAGCCAGCACCTCCTGCTCCCTTCCAAGCTGATCTCATGCTGACTCACACAAACCTCAGAAGCTCACAGCAGCCTTCACCTTCTGGACAGCTTTCTCTTTGAGTTCCCCCCACACCTGCCACACCTCTGGCTACTGTAATTCAGCCCCTGTTATGGTTTGGATGCATGGCCTCCAAAGGTTCACATACAGGAACTGGGGCCCCAGGGTGATGGTACTGGGAGCTTCCCGTGGACCGGAAGAGGTGGGGCCCTGGGAGAGGTCTTTAGGTCATTGGCAATGTGCTCTCACAGGTGATTGCGGGCCCCCAGCTTGCTCCTGTCCACCCTGCTCTCTGGGTGGAGATGTGAGCATGCACCTTGGTACCCACTCCTGGCACAGTGTCCTTGCCACAGCACAAGGGAACACTGGAACCTCAAGAACTCTGAGCTGAAATAAACCTCCTTCCACACATTGATTCTTTTCAGTCTCTGTTAAAGTAACAGGAAGCTGACCAGCACCCCTATCTTGCTGCCTCCTCCATCCTGGTGCTGTCTGCAACATAACCATGAGTTGGTGCCCCTTGGTGTTCTGACATTTAAAGTCCAAATCAAAGAGCAGGCAAGACTTACAGATGGGGTACAGAAAATGCAGTGGAGCTCAGAATCCCAGTCTCTACCATCTCAATAGCTTGTTTCATTTCCAGCTTCTTGTATAAAGAAACGATGCTTGATTTGGGTAGGTTCTTTCGGATTAAGATTTTCCGTAAGTACTTATGATCAAACTTCTTAAACCTAAAAATAAAAACCAACATTTTGGAAATCTTTCAACTCTGTATGTTTTCTGCACATGTGCATTTCTTTTTCTTAAAAACAACTCCCACTTAACTTTATTCTGAAAAATATCAAGACAGTACCTCGAGTACATAGCATTTGAGTGCCTTTTTAACAAATCACAGTATTTATGCATTTTTTAAGTAAAGAAAGAACAGCCCACTGGCCTGAATATATTGAAAATAAACTAAAAAAAGAAAGGGCCGAGCTGAAATCAGGGCAAAAGTGTGTGTCAGTGGGAAGCCAGGGAGGCCCTGCCCAGGCCAGGCCACACTGAAGAGAGGAAATGAGGGGTCACAGCTTTTGGCTGAATGTTGTGCTGATAGCTCATAATGTAGCAGCTGCACTTACAATAATATGGGTCTATTTAACTACAACCTGGACATCCAAATGGCCTGGAAGTTACAGTGGTCTCTCTCCAGTATGCTGCAGCTCATCTCAAATCCCGCCAAAGTAAGAGTGAGGAGGGAACCCCACACACATCCCCACAGCCTGACCCAGAGAGACTTGAATAGGCCAGACCCTGGCAACAGCTGATTCCTGCTGTGGCTGGCCCGTTGGACTGAACGGCCCAAATGCATATGGCAGGGGTCAGTCATCTGTGTGGGGTTGGAACTGCCAACATTTCCAATCATTGTTTCATGTTCGGAGAGCAGCTTGCCTGCTGCTTACTTTCTGGAGGAGAACATGGCTTGCTGGGCTGCTGGCCTATTGTCTGTATGGCCGGTTACCTGGTCCCAGAGCTGGGTGGATCACATCGGGTCAGGTGAGTTCCCTGGGGGAGGGGCAGGCTGAGTTCCTGAGCTCAGCCATCTGCTTAGTCTGTGCCACACCTGCTCCTGTCTCAGCTGGGTCACTGCTCGACCTGCTGGTTTCCCAACCTTTCCGATGAGACCCCATGGTTGCTGGTCATTCCTAACCCACTGTCACAGCTCCTCCACTCTCGCGACATGTCTGACATTTATCCTGCTGAGCCCATTGACCTTGCTCTGTGGTGCTCCAGGGGCCGCCATTGCTCTTACCTCATGGGTGCTAGGTCTCTCAGTGTGCTAGTAACTCCTCCCCATCCTGTCTCACTTCTGCCTTCCCTCTGGCCTCCCTGGTGGCTTCTTTTTATGCCCTCTTGCCTTTCCTTTTCTTGACCAATGCCCCAGGATGAGGAGTGTCTCACAATCCTGTCTTTGGCAGCTTCCCTCTTCTCTTGTAATGACCTCAAGCATTTCATACCCGCAACCCCTTGGATTTTGATACCTGCAACCCCTTGGCACCGTAAATCTTTGTCTCTTCCACAGTCTCCCACCTTGAGACTAAGTCTGGAAGAGGAATCAGTTCAGAAATGTGAGCTATGGTGGAGAAAGGGCTTTGGGAATTTTAAAGAATCCCTATGTAGGCAGCACCCATAAAGGTCTTCCATATTCATAACCTCCATACCGGACAGATTCCTGCCTAGGATTCCCACTGTATCACCAAACACCCCTTGCAGCCTCGGGAAGCCAGGTTTTGCATAGTTAAGCTGCTTTTATCATGTGAGCCCTGTCCTTCCTTTAAATGTAACTATGGCTTCTTTGTTTCCCCTCTACTCAGAGCACTGGTTCTCTCTCAAGTGGCCCAAACCCAGGCCCAGTCTGTTCCACAAGCAGCACACATCTGAGCTTAGCAGCATCCAGGATGCCCAGCTGCCCCTGGGGTGGCCAGGCTCCTGGGCCTTTGTCTTTCCCCTCCTGGTCCCCCTTGAAAGTCCCTTAAGACACAGCGACCCTTGGTGAGGTAACGCAGCCCCGACCACCTTACTTGTCTCTGACTTGGTAGTGGCTCCACTGCCCACACACATCTTCTATGCCAGCCTTCAAGTGATCCATCAGCTGCCAGAGAAAGCATAAGGAATCATTGCAGGTGCAGGGAGAGCTCTGGGAGGTGCACAAGGGTCACCACCACACCTCGTAGACGAGGGAGGCTCGGGTTCCTGGTGCATCTCTTCCATCAGTCCGCTCACACCCTAAAATACACCCTGCCCTGCACAGCAATTCAGCTTAGGTGCATGAACTAAGAGAGTCCAGCAATAAGACACTTGCTACCACACAGAACATTCAATGAAACCTGGCCTTGGGTTTGAATAAGACTTTTCTAGAGCGACCTAGGAAACATCTCTTTTCTGAAAAAATATGGATGAAAATTCTAAGGATTTAACTTTTCTTTTTAATTTTATTGCTAAAAACGAACTTACCAGTATCTAATATACACAGGTTCTCAAAATATAACTTCCCATAATCTATTATAATAAAAAATGTAAGAAGAAAACTTCTCAGTATTTCCAATTTTAGTATCTTCCCTAAGTATTTACATTTCAACATACAAGCCAATAATGCTACATTTGTTTTATACAGAATTGCATTAAAAAACTAGGGGGAAAGACAACCTTAAAATAATTACAAATTAGTCTATATATAATTTAAATTAAAAATCAATAAATTACTGACTTTTGAATTTTGTGAAAATAGATTGAATACTGAACTCAATATTTAATTGATCCACTGACTTTTTTTAATTCTTTTTTTTTTTTTTTTTTTTTTTTTTTTGGTACCAGGTATTGAGCTCAGGACTTCATGTTTGCCTGGTAGCCACTATGCCACTGAGCTATATCCCTGGCCTCATGATCCACTGACTTCTATAAATAGTTATACCTTTTTTCAGAAAAAGAATTGAGAAAGGAATGAACTATCCAAAGTCTGTAGGCTGAGGTATATGCATAATATTTTAAAGTAATGAATCCAAGAAGATAAAGATAGACAAAAAATCTAAAATTCAATTAGAGTGTTACATATTTTAAAATGTTCTCTCCCTATCCTAACCTGTTAACGATCTTCAAATGACTCTGAAAATGTTTGGTTTGGATTTCTTGAAATGTATTGCTTCCAATGATTTTCCTACACAATTTGGGGCTGGCTTAGGTAGATTTAGGTAAATGTTATACATTTCTCCAGCATTAGACTTATGCACCCTTAAAGATAGACAATGCCTAAAATATTACCTGGACCAATCATCCTCTCAAATCATGGCTTCCCTGAGCAGTAATTATGCCAAATGTTCCAGTCACTGGTTGGACACATCCAAGGCCCCTCTGGATGTGCCAATCAAGAAGTAATTATCAGAACGTTCTTTCATAACTGGGTTGAATTCCTTATCCTATCTATCTATCTATCTATCTATCTATCTATCTATCTATCTACCTATCTGTCTGTCTGTCTGTCTGTCTATCTGTCTATCTATTTACTCCCCCCATTTCCATACATTAATTCTGATTCCTGTGTCTGGGCACCATCCCTTCGAACTGTGTTGACGGTAGGTATAACATACAGGGTGAGGGGCAGGCAGCAGAGACCACCGGCTGTGTAAAGGTAGCATAGTGTGGAATTTACTGTGCCTGCGTTCAGGCAGACAGAAAGTGAAAGGACCTTCTGCAGGGAACAGAGAGAAGCGTGCCTTTTTTATAGGGATGGAAAGAAGGCAGGGGACCCTCGGCAGGAAGATTTTAATAAACATCTGTGGTCAGAGTTCACTGGCAGTCTTGCACCTCAGAGAACAGAGTCCTTGAAGTGGTCTGAAGAAATTTTCACGTCTCTAGAAGTCCCCAGTGTCCCCAGATGTCCCGGGACCTGAAAAATTCCTTGTCCTATCGTATCTCCTTTAGGACATCCTGTGCCTGTCAGGATGGCTTTGGGGCTGAGCTGAGTTCTCTGCTGAGATAGTGCCTCTGCTAGAAGGGGGCGGGAAGGGGGACTCAGGTTCAATTATAGACTTACATAGGAACCATGTTCAACTTCTTATCCATGTTTGCCATGGTGGCAAAGATGATTCAACCAAAATCCCCCACTAGGCCAGATTTGCTGAAAGAGTCACAGCCTTTGCTCTGTCCCTATTAACAGTTCTGGAAAAGCAAAGGACGCCAGATTCCTGCAGAGCAATCTGTTTAAAAGCAAGTAGAACAACTTTTAACATAGTCACTAGAGTACTCTTTTGAGGTATCAACCTGAAGAAGCAAGTCCCAATAATTCAGTCAATCACTAGACATTGCTGTGAACGCATTTTGCAGACATAAATAGATCCCATCACCCCTATCTTTAAGTAAGGGAGATAACCCTGAATAATCCTAGTGGCCCAACTGGATCAGCTGAAAGTCCTTCTGGACAGAGCAGAAACCTCCCAAATGAGAAATTGTACTGGCAGACAGCTCCAACCCAGGCCAGAGCTCCTGCCTCCCCATCTGTTGTCTGTCCTAGGACTCTGGACCTGTTATCCAGCCGGTGTAAACCAGTTCATCTCACAGATCTCTTCACATCTCTCACTGGCTCTGCTTCCCTGACAGAAACACTGTCATCTCGAAATAAAAGGAAGAGCAAAAAAGGACAGAATGGAAGACGGCTGTGGGACCCCCAAATTCTACAGGTGAGAAGTTGGCTGATGACATCTCTCATCCACAAAGGCACAAACACATGTCACCTTTTACAAAAAAGGAATGTGGCCCTGAGGATGAGATGCGGGACCCAGCAAAAGGACACACGATGGTTGATGACATTTCCAGATCATGTGACAGGATAGTTTGCTCAGGAACTCTGCAGTTTTCCTAGAGTCCACAGCTCCTGATTGGCTTCCATTTCCTGCTCTTTAAAGAGAATAGCAGCACCTGTTACCTGACGGCTGCTCTGCCAGTGTAACTGGGACCAGATAGTTGTTCTTTGTGTTTTTCAGGCTCTTGGAGGAAGACAAACTGGGCCTCAGGATGGATTTGCCCAGAACCTCACTCATCCCTAACTTAGACATTCGAGATGATGTGATTCAGACTTTTGAGATGAAGTTTAGATAAGATTTGGAGTTGGAGTTGATGCTATAATGGATTGAGGCTTCCAAGGCTTCGGGATAGAGGACTGGGATAGACATGACTTTTTAAGGGGTAGAGGGCGGGTTGAATACACAGAATAATGGTCTCCCAAGTTTGTTTGCAACTTAATGTTTGAGAACTGTGGGACGTGTTCATTTCTAGGCAAGAGAGAATTCAGCTAGCCCATGGGCACAAAGTTTCTCAACAGTTGAGCTTAAGATCATGAGAGCCTCATGAACTTTGTGGTGGCACCATGCAATCACAAAGGGCCTTCAGGGCAGAAGGAGGCAGAAAAGCCACGGTCTGAGGGCCACCTGACTGGCCCCTGCTTGCTTTGGAGATGGAAGAGGCTGCCCCCAAGAAGTGCAGGAAGCCTCTAGAAACTGGAAGATGTGAGGAGACAGATCCTCCCCTAGAGGCTCCAGAGAAGAACTCAGCCCTGCAACCCTACAGTGCTGTAGCCCCTCAGGGAGGACACATCTCAGATCTCTACCTACAGAGCTGCAGGTTCATACGCATGGGGCTGGTTCCCTACAGTGGAGCAGGAAGCTAGAGCAGGGTCCTCAGTGGAGTTGGGGCAGGAGAAAGCCTCATGGGGAGCCTCATGACATGTGACAGGTCTCATCCAGGCTCTAGGCTACCCTCCTAGGGGACTGATACAGGTCATCCATTCATCACAATCACAACAGCGATGACTTACTCGGATATGAAGCTCTTCGTTGATGGACTCTTTTTTATTGGTCTTTCTGACATCCAGGTACCTGACCAGAGGGCCAATTGTGATTCCCTAGACCAGAAATAACAAAACAAAGGGCTTTGTTGAGGTGAAGATTTTTGCTAAAGGGGAGGCATCTGTTATCCAAGTCATAAAAATGTCCAATTTATATGTGTTTGTTTCTAGTTTCTACTGGATAAATGCACAAAGGTTTACTTTAGCTTTGAATTTTATAATAAAAATACATGTAACTGTTTTGTTTTAAAATGAAAGCTTGATTTCACACCTTAAGTTAACGTTTTATTAGTTCATTAAGTGCTGAGTCCAGTTAAACAAACACTGTGCTATCAGATACCAGTTAGAATCTCATTTGCAGAGCTAGACATAAAGTAGCTGTCATCCACCTGTAACCTAGGTGAACTTAATTAGGATGTTGTACTGGTTAAAAGGCAATGCATTTTAGAAGTTAAAGGCTGACCATGAACAGGACTATAAATATTCAGAAATTCAGTTTGATATTGGACAAAGATCTAAAAAGAAAAAAAAAAAGAAACCGAGAACATGCCAGTATTTGCACTGTACTGATGTACTACACAGTCCTGAAAGAATCTACTCATTTCAAAAGGGACAGAAAGCCACCAACCTGAATGAACACAGTAAAATAGATCACTACGAGGGTGGCGGTAACAAACAGTTTCTTCCTAGGGAAAAGGGACAGAGGGAGCAAAAACGCAAGGGAAAAGCTCCCGGCTCCACGAACCCCGCTGTAGAAAATGATGCACTGGTCCTTGACGGAGAAGGGGAAAGTCCGGAACTGGTTGCTGATGTAAAACAGGGAAAACACACCTGGAAGGGGAGAGAGGTGTCAGCTCAAGGGCCAAGGACAGCTGAGAGAAATGCAGCATGGCTACCGAGATCGCTCCTGCCAGCCCAGCCCGGAGCTCCTGAGTTCGCTCTTCCCAGCAGAGCAGCTCCAGGGCTCTGTGCTCCTCCAGCTGTGCAACATTCCTGCCTCCATCTGAAACTTCTCTAGTGGCTTCCTAGTGTGTGTGTGTGTGTGTGTGTGCGCGCGCGTGCACGCACGTGTCTGTGCACACGTATTGCAAAGGAAGTCAGTCTTCTATTGTTATACAAGGTACGTATTTCTAATATTTCAACTCCTGTTTTCACAGTATGTGTTCTGCCTTTCAAAACTAGTTAAAGCAAGGCTCTTTGGGAAACCCAAATGTTCTTACCTCATATTCTCATTTGGTATCCAAAACAGATCTGTGATTATTTCCCCTCTTTGGTGCAGGGCATTGAACCCAGCACCTGTGCACTGAACTACAACCCCAGCTCCTTTTGGGTTTCTATCATAAGACAAGCTCTTGTTCTGTAGCCCAGCTTCAGCCTCCCAGCACTGGGATTACAGGCCTGCTCCATGGCACCCAGCTGTGGCCTGAGACTTACATGCGGGAGCTCACTCAGCAACGGGCATCTGTAGGACAGCAGGTCCTCCCTGCTTGGGTCAGTGATTCTGGAGGTTCAACAAGCAAGCAAAGGGGTCAGCAAGGGCCCAAAAAGCTTCTTAGTGCCAGTGAGCAGCTGAACCTGAAGGGCTTCCACCCCTGCTTCCAGGGCTCGCCCCACACTCCACTAAAGCCCCAGGGAACTATGGAGACCACAGCGAGGATCTACTGCAATAGGGGCAGCTGTAGTGTAAACGACAACAGAATTCAAAACAAAATGTAAAATTTTTCAATCCATTTTGTCTGTCTTGCTTCTCTCCATGCCAAGCATTCAAGTGGGGGCAAGGTTACTCCCCACCTGCCTATCAGTAGCCCCAGGGCATCTCTGAAGGGAGCCAAGACACTCACCATGGATACCAGATTTCATGGTGCTCAAGTGCGTTTCAGGAAATGGACTGAGGTTCTCACTAAGCCTGCGCCCATCTTCCTGAATACTTTGGGCCATCTCGCTATTGCATATGATATTTCACACAAAGGCAGTCCATCTGAGTAACTGCTACTCTGTATTGTTTAGGGACAAAGGACAGGGAAAAGGTCTTGGTTGAACCCCACAGAGCCAGACCTACAGGTATAGAATATAAATGTATACACCTCAGAGAGTAGATGAAAGGAAAAGTCTTCCTAACTGCTGTTACAGACAGAGTCAGGGTAGAAAGAGACCTGCTCCAGCCATCCTATGCCAGGGTCAGGCCCTGGTTCTCTCTGTGGGACCCATCAACACCCTCAACGCTCAGACCTCAGAGCTAGGCTGGATAGTCACTGCAGAACACCACTTCCAGTCCTTTCCTAGTGGCATCTCCGCTTGTCGGCTGAGCTGAAAATCCGTAATTTCATCCTCCACAATGGTTCTACTTCCCTCTAGATTTGTAGAATATAAGGGCTGAGAGAAATCTAAAGTCTTCGTTTAAATTCACCATTTCAAGGTCAAGGAAGACGATTTTGAATAGACATGTCTGTCCAATCCAGTTAGTAATCATGCCAGGATTCTACCTGAGATTTTAAATGTGTGTCACAATTTCCATAACTGTTTTTCCACCAGGAGCCCAGTAGGCATACATATCCAGTTACTTTTGTGACTATTTTAATATTTCTGTATTCTCATTATTCTTTCCTAGATCCTAAGGGTCATCCTAAATTAATTTAGAATTGTCATGTTCAATATGAATTCTGAGCCATTTCTTCTAATTTGTCTTTGAATAACTGACTTGAAAAGATAAGTCATTTAAAAACCATAGCTGCTGCTAATCAAAAGACAGCACATAATTGTCATTTAGTGCTTCATGATCTTTTTTAGCTCCTGAAATACAAATGTATAAGAGAAGTCATTGGGTCTCATTTCCAAAAGTTAGGCACATTTTGAAGGGCTCAGGTCAGTGACATTATAGTTACAGTTGCTTTTATTAATTAACACTATGATCTTTCAAAACATCTTCCAGGTCCTTTGTCTGTTATCGGTCACCTGCATGCACTCTATGCTTAGACCAGATGTACAACTGTACATCAGTGCTTGTCCTACAGGGAGTACGGTTTGTGAGATCTCACTGATCCCGTAATAACAGCATCAGTGCCCTCAGTTTCTCATCTGTGTCTGAATTAAGACGATCTACACTGGCAAGAAGTGGAGAGGAAGAGATGCACCACCTGGGTCGTGTTTAAATGTGTAGATGTGAACATTTTCCTCTTCAATTAAAAAAAAAATGCTCACATGTTCCTGCTTTGCTGAAAGGCAGAAACTGATCACTCAGCCTCTAATTTCTTTGACCTGACTTCAGAGAAAACAGAAGCCAGTCCTGGTTCACAAGGTGCCTGGACTCCTCTGCCAGGAAAATCAATTCATGTCACCTCGTCCCTTATGCTTCCCATCACAGAAAGGAAGAAGAGAACTACTATGATTTATATCTAGATGGCCTCAGAAAGTCTCATCTTCAAAGGTGGGATTTTTGAAGGTGACCAGATTATAGGATCAATATCATTGACTGCCTTGCTGTGAGTCTCGGTGGGAGAGGCAGGTCCCTGGGGGCGTGGAGGATTTATCTCCCTCTCCAGCTCCTCCCCATCTCTCTGCTTCCTGTGCACCATGCAGGGAGCAGCTCTTCCTCCTCCATTTCCCTCTGCCATGCTGCCTTGACTTAGAACCAGTCGCCTATGACTGAAACCTCCAACAACAGTGCCCCAAAAGAAGCCCTCCTTGTTCTAACATGTGGGTATCAGGTACTGTGTCCCAGCAGCAAGGGAAGTGACCAAGACACGGACTGAGGAACAAAAGCTCAGAACCCCACAGGAGTCTGAAGCCCTGCTGTGCCTTACTGATGGCTCTCCAGATCTGGCAGAAGACCAGCGTGAAGCAGATGAAGGCCCAGTTCCACTCGTGGTTCTTCCCAATGGTGGACACACCCATGAAGATGAAGATGAGGGTCTCGCTGACACTGCTCAGCATCTTCATGAAGTACTTGATGGTGGTGTAGGAGGTTTGGGACACATTTTCCTCCACATACTTCTTCATTGTCACTGCACAGGCTGTGATTCTGGAGAGAAGCAAAGGCTCAGAGAGAAGCAGCCCACTCCACACAGAGTCCTCCACACTGGCAAAGCCTGCCTTTATCTAGAAAGACTGTCACCCCCATGTCTTTCTCCTGGCTGTAACTTTCCACAGATTTCCTCTCTTCCTCCTCCACTCCCCTAGGGGTCTCTACAAGAAAAACGAAGCATGGGGAAGGTGTGTGTAACTTGGCCTACTTTGGCAAAATGACGGGGCAGTTCTGGAAGACTTTCCAGAAGCTTCTCTGGCTTCCTCCTCTTCCAGAGCTCAGTTGGACTCAGTTCTTACACTTGCCTTTACTCTTGCTTACATCAGAATAAATCCCCTTTGGCTGGATATATCTAACAATTCAGCAAGATCCTGGTTTCCTCCAACCAAATAACACTTCTTGCAACTACTGTGTGACATATTTTTCATTGTGAATGTTTCTGTGCTAAAACCATTTAGCAAATACAGTAAAAGAACTTAGCTTGTCTCAGTGTTTTTAAGGTGTGAAAATGACGGAGACCTAGAGGTACACTATTATATTTAATTGGTAGAGGCATTCCTAGGTATTACAGCTAACTATTCCTGACTAACTGTCCGGATTGGAAGACAACATCACTGAGAAAACGATGTGATAAGATACAAGCCGAACCAAGAAAACTCATTTTAAGAATATCTCAAGGTCACAAGATAACACATCTCAAAAGTGTTTTCATTAGATCACAGAAACCTAGGTTTTTATCCTGATCCCATCCACTTCATGTCAATCCACCCCAAAGGATTATGGAGCTGTGATGGTGGCTGGCGGATGGCAGGAGGTCCCTCTTCTGCCTGAAAATCAGTTTTTCGAGAAAAAAAAATACAAACAAAACTATACATACAACAGGTTCCTGAGCTTTTCTCTACAGCAGCTTTTCTGAACACTCTAAATTGACATTATACTTGCTGTACCCTCCCAAACAAATCACAAGAGAACAAACACAAATGTTGAAGAGAATATTTGGTTGGCAAAGAACTTGAGTCAGATTGCACAAAAGAGTTAAAAACAAAACCCTTTAGCCTTGAAACACCTTGGATGTGCTTGCCAGAAGCTGTGCCTTCTTCAGAGGCCTGGCTCGTCCCCTGGGTCCTAAGCTATGGTTATGAGATGAGACGCTGTACTCACGCCAGGATGCCAGAGAGGTAGAGTGTTTCAGCAGCTAAGTAAGACAGGTAACTGAACATGAAGACGATGAGCGGCTCAATCGCAGAGATGTTCTGAGTGAAACGTGTGATGAACGCAGAAATGAATCCAAAGATGATGCCAAAAAATACTCCCCCGCAGCCCACAACAATGAATCGGGCACATCCTGCCAGGATGTCAACAGGTTCTATGTCTTCAAATTTATGCATCTTTGTGAAGGCAATTAATATATTGTATAAGACCTAGGCAAAAAAAAAAAAAAAGCAAGAAAAAGAAACATGAATTAGCAATTACAAGTATTTTATTCACCGATTCTCGACTTTGTGCCTCAATACTGTGTAAGAATAAATCGCACAACAAATATTATTAACATGGCTAGGTTTTAGATATATTCTAAATAGATTAAATTAGTAAAAACCATAATACTCAAACTTTCAATAAATAAGAACAAGAAAAATGAGATTGATTACCTTGATTTGATTACTTATTACACATAAAACCAAATCATCGTATTTTACACCATAAGCAGACCCCCAAAGTGGTCTCTCTGTAAGTTTTGCAACTTCAGCCTAAGATTAGCTGTCTACACAGGTCCCCAGGAAGGCCATGTGCAACATTAGTGTGGGCCAGAATTCCACTGAGCACACCACTCTCTGAAAGCCGAAACTCCTTTCCCTGCATGCAGGGGCTGCTCCTCTGAATGCTCCCTGTCCTTCCGGAGCACAATGGTTGCTATGCCTGGCTCCACCTGGCTCTGTGAGACTGGTGTGCCCAGAAAGTTCGGACCAGCTCCAGCCTGGCCAGCCTGCCCGGCGAGATTGAAATGCATTCAGCTCTTCCCTGCTCTCAGTCTCTTTCAGGTTTGGGGACCATGGAGATTTATCTTGTATACATAAAGTATAGTTTTACTATGGCTAATAAATTTTAAGTTAAAAATTTTCTCTTTAGCCTGTCATGTGTTTTTCAGTCCAGCTTACTGCATATTCCATGTGCAGATCGCCCCGGTATTAGGCAGCTTTAATTGGTCCATGGTTTTAGGGTATTCAGTCCCTGGTAGAAACATCACAGCAGATGGATGTAATGGAGCATAGATGTTTAGTTCAGTTCATGGCAGCCAGAAAGAAAAAGGGAGTGATACCAGGAAGGAAGGGCTGTAGACCAGATAGATTCCTATAGTCAGGAAGTCACACACACACATATCCACAAGTATGTTCTACTAATCCCTTGGGAAGATTCAAAGTCAATCAAGTTGGAAACATTAAAGTTCATTCTCGAATCCCCCATCTTGGCACTCCCAAATGCCTCCTTAAACCAATATTTAATGTCCAAATAAAGATAGCAGCAAGTTCATAATTCTGCCTAACATGATACAACTATGCGTGTACAATTCAAAAGGTACTAATTCCTTCCCCAAAGTTTCAACAGTGGAAATAGTGCTAAAAAGACCAAGTCTATATGTCCTCTGAGACTCAAAGCATACTCTTGGGAACCTCTGTGTAAAACAAACAAACAAACAAAAAAAATATGTAATCTCAAGATACAATGACAGAGGGTAAAAATCTCCATTCCAAAAGAGAGACAGGGGAAATAGAAAAGGATTGAGTCAAAGCAAAATTGAAACTCATCAGGGTTAAGTCCTGTAGCTATGTGTCTAGCATCTGGGGTACAGGGCAGTGAGAATTAGGGTCCATGGGGCTTGAGAGTCTAGCTGTGTGAAACCCACTTGGCCTCTCCTTAGGGGTTCATCCTGCTCATTGAATGCAGCTTTCCTCAGCAGATTCCACATTCCTGGAATCTCCAGCTTCTTGGCGTCTCTACTGCATATCCAGCTTTTACTTCCACAGCTTCATTCATGGCACTGTAAGGGGCTCCTTGCCTGACTGTTTAGGCCTTCCACTGAACTCTGAATAGAGGCCTGTAACTCTTGACCCCCACAACTCTTACATTCTCCATGACAGTAAAACTAGCATCACACGGATTTTGCCAAGGTGTCTTGACAGCAGAGGCACTAACCAGCCCCCTTTGGATCATAGCTAAGTGGTCTCTAACTGCCTGGATGGCTGATCACAATGAAGTGAATCCTAGGTGACCAATTTCCTAAGAGGTGCTTTTCAAGCAAAATCCCAGGGACTTCATTTCCAAATGAAAAGTTTATAATTTTGCAACTTTTAACCTGTGATAGGTAGGGTCTTGCTGATTTCTGAAATGTCCTCAAGACATCTTTTTTTCTCATCCCTGAACAAAGTGTTTGCTTTCTTTCTGATGATGCTACCTCTTCAACAATCACACCTCCCTTGGCCCCAAATGTTCATGTGGTTCCTTTTGAGCCAAAGTTAAATTTTAAAAATTGTTGTACTCTACTTTTTACTTCCTATCCTTGCTATAAATCTTGCTAAATGCAGCCAGCAGTAACTATGCCACATACTGAACACTGGGCTACCTTAAAATTTATTCCACAACCCCAGTCTCCCACAGAATCTCAGAACATGAGCAAAATCTGCACAATTTTTTGGCCAGAGTGTAACACTCATGGTCTCTAGTTCAGTGAAATCCTTCTTCGCAACTCAAACCTCCTGACACTCACCTTTACTGTTCCCATTCCTGTTCACATTATGGTAGTTTTTTTTAACATGTGTGAAAACTTTATTTGAAAACTAAAAATTTAGACATATTTCAAACATTCAAAAATAAGGGAGAAGTTTGGTTGATTGCTGAGAGTTTACTACTTCTGGTCTCCTGAGCTCCAACTGGAACAGCCTATCAGGAGGTAAAAATTAAAACTCAAGGAAATTCTGAGTGGTTCCTAGAACCTCAGAAAGTCTGCTACCAGTCCTCCAGAGTCTGTACCCCATTCGTTTCCATACTGCTTGAACCCATTTTCTGATGCTAACAGTGAACACAATAGATAGAGTGCATTACCTGGCTCACAATGCTGGCGAAAGGGAGATTGGAGAGCACAGTCAGAGTGTAATAAGGTCTCCACCCAGGTTGCATCATAACATGATGAGAAGGGCAAGCAAGCACACTGGGGCACAAAGAGAACCCAAGAATCTGGGGTACAGGGCAGTGAGAATTAGGGTCCATGGGTACCCAAGACAGGGCTGAATTTATTACAAACCCACTGGAGACAACTGATCCCCTCCCACAATTATGGCATTAATTTATTCACAAGGGCAGAGCTCTCATGACCTAATCACCTCCTGGAAGTCTCACTAGGTGATACTATTACAGTGGCCATTAAATTTCAGCATGATGGGTCCTTGATGACCCACTCCAACTCAGCACCCAACTTCACACTCTGCTCCTCTCATACCTCTGGACAGGGACCTTCTCTCTATACCTGCTGGGTTTACTGCCTTTAGTCTCCTGCTCCACTGTGACCACTGGCTTAAAACCAATCTTAGCAATGTTCTCAAGTGGCCTTTTTCCTCTGGCATAGCCTGACATCTATTGGGTTCTGGCTTCTGTTTCAGCCACATGACCCATCAGAAATGTGGGCTGCATTCGGGGACCCTGAAGTCACCATGGATACCACTTGCATATGCTTTGCTACCCACATATGTGTAGAGATCAGAAGCCCCACCACCTGGCTGTGGAATGTGGGCTGGCAAGGAAGGCATTCCTCAAATCAACTCAAGTATCACCAGCCCTTGTGTGGCATGCTACACGGCAGATGGTCTTAGCCAGTGCGAGACAGAGGCCACAGGGGGTTCATTTGAACTTCCACAGCACAGCTCTGTCACCTGGACTTTTGTGCTAGCTTCCTGGGGCTGCTGTAATAAAGTGCTACAACTTCATGTCTCAAATTAACATGAGTCCCTCACAGTTATGGAGACCAGAGGTCTGGAATCAAGATGTCACTGTGCCCCTTTTGAAAGTGCTCTGGGTGGATTCCTCCTTGACTCTTCCTGGTTTATGGAGATGGTGGCAATCTTTGGTGTTCCTCTGTTTGTGGCTACATCATTTTGGACCCTGTGTCTTGTCTCTGTGTGTCCTCTTTGTGTCTCATAGCCTTCTTATAAGGACACCAGTCATTAGGCCAGGGCCCAATTTAATCCAGTATGAGCACTCCTTAACCTAATTATATTCAAAAATACTATTTCTAAGTAAGGTCATATCCTGAAGTCTTAGATGGACATGGTTTTAGGGATGCAGGTTCATTATTCTATACAGTCTAGTTTTTTTTTTTTTTTAATCAAGATGACCACACAATGAAATTAACTCATGGTATTGATGAGATGACTCAAGTTATAACTTTTTTAGTGCAACAATAATATAATTCTGGATGCTACAGGACCCTAGCAAGGGACTGATCCTCCAAACACTTCCATTGTATGTCTTGGGGGATCCTAGGACATGTGCTTTGGGTACATGTGCCAGTGAGCACTTTTTAAAGTAATAAGATGCTGGTGGCAAATACATTTGGTTATATAAGGGAATGTGGAAAGATTATGGCCTTTTTCCCTCAAAGAGTAGTTTTTCATGCATTTGCTGAGAGAAGAGGAAGATGTAAAGGTGAAGAAGAATCTGAAATCTTAGTATGAATTGGTCCAAGCAAGGACACACACACACACACACACACACACACACACAAAATGAATACATGGATATTGTACATTTCTGAAATTGGTAAATGAATTATCTTTCAAAAACCTAGACTTGTAGGAACATCAAATGCGATTTACTTAAGAATACACATGCTAATATGAAGCAATTTTAAGAAACTAAAGTATAAATAAGAACCTCCATCTATGCTCCACTCTCATCCCTTCCAGATAAATACCATACACATGTCTTTCCGATCCTGCAGTCTGCCTGTCCATCATCTATCGATCTAGCACTATCACCCCTCAGATCTTTGTCTGCAATAAATGAAATGGAGCAGCCACATCCTGTGCTTCAATTTCAGGTACCAGTGAGTTTTTCCCTGGAAGGCATAGCACTGCTCTGGGGTTTCCTTGGCCAGGAACTCCCAGGAGGGTTTGGCATAATCTCTGAGAAGCGCAGCAAGATGGTCACATCCAGCCTCCCTTCTTCTCTCTTCTTTATACCTGGGCCACTGTGCACTGGGCTCTGAGTTTGGTAGGAAAAGCTCCCTTGCACGCCTCTGTGTATCTGACTCATGGGTGACCTGGGTAGCTTCTACTTATCTGTCATGTTTTACAAAGCTGCTATAATGCTGATCTATTTACACTAAGCAAACTAAAGCCATGTTTTAGGAAAAGCTTAGCTGAGCCTTTGA